GCGCCGCGGGCCGCCCCGCGGGCGCCGCCGCGCCCACCCTTGCCGGCCACCGTGTCGCAGAAGGTGGCGGCCAGCAGCACCAGCGCCCAGCACGCCGCCGCGCTCCGCCGCATCCCGCACCTGCCGCAGGGAGGGAGGGAGAGCTCAGCCGCGCCCGGCCGCGGGCGGGGGACCGCGCACCGCCGTGTCCCGCTCCCCGGGTGTGCCGCGGCCGCGCACGCGTGTGTCACGGCTCACGCCGCTCCCCGCGCGTTGCATAAACGCGCTGCCCCCACCCCCGGGGATGATGCTCCCGCACACGCGCGCCCCGCGGAACCCTGCGGGTGACGCTCCGCACAGCCGCGGGGATGATGCTCCCGCACACGCTCGCACCCACGCGTTTCACCGGCTCCGCACACGCCCCGCCGCAGGGCACATCACACCCCTCCCTTCCCTCCCCGCCCGCGGGGCTCACCGGAGCCGGGGATGCCGCCGGCGCGTTCCGCTCCTCTCCGCTCCTCCCTGGCCGCGCTCCCGCTGCCGCGCTCCCGCCGCGCCCCCCGCTCCCCGCGCGGGGGGCGGCGGGGGAATCCCCCCTCCTCACCCTTTCCCCTTCCCTTGCCGTTCCCCGCGGCGGCTCTGAACCTCGCACAGCCCTCCGGCCCGGCCCCGCCCGCGCCCCGCGGGCAGCACGGCGGGACCCCCGCTCGGGGCGGCCATGGGGCCCGCGCCCCCTCCTGTGTCCCTCCTCTGCCGCGCTGCCCCGAGCGCGCCTCCCGCCGCCGCTCCGCGCCCCCTGCGGCGCTCGGGGCTGCAGCGCCGGTGAGCACCGGGGGGGCACCGCGGGGGGGTGGGCTTGGCCCAAGCAGTGCTCAGCGCCCGGCACCGGGTCGCTGCACCGGGCGCGGTCGTAGCCCAGGGCGGGCATGTGCCCATCGACCTGCTCGTGGTCGCTGGGCTGCGCACCAGGCCACGGCACCGGGCACCGTGTCCCTACTTAGTGTACGGTCCCAGCGCCGGGCACGGAGACTCAGGGCTGTGCACCAGGGCCACAGCACCGGGCACCGGGACCCAGCGCGCGGGACGGTCCCGGCACCGGGCCTGTGCCCGGCGAGTTGCACGTGGTTCCGGAGCTGCGCTCCAGAGCCCATCACCGGGCACCGGGGCGCTGCGCCATGCATGGGCAGCGGCGCTGCATACCAGGGCACCGGGCACCGGGGCCGCTGGGCTGGCGCTGGGTGCGCGGAGCACGCACACTGTCCCAGCACCGGCGGGACACGGGGCTTCATCTTCGCGGGGTAGGGTGGCACTGGGAGCTCCTCCGAGCCCGTCCCGCCGGCTGCCGGTGACCGCTGGCATCAAGGTCGCCTTTAAATAGCACGGAGTGACGGTGGCCAGGCGTTGCCGAGGGTGGCCGGGGGTCCGCCCGGTGCCCGGCAGCCGGTGGGCTAACTGGGCAGTGCTGGTGTGGCGGGCAGGGGCTGCATTCCAGTACCTGCTGGTGCAGAAGACGGGGGCACAGAAGAACGTGGGGCTGATCCAGCTGAACCGGCCGCAGGCGCTCAATGCGCTCTGCGAGGGGCTCATGGCGGAGCTGCGGCGGGCGCTGGAGGCCATGGAGAGCGACCCGGAGGTGGGAGCCATCGTCCTCACCGGCAGCCAGAAAGCCTTTGCAGGTAGGACGGGGTCTCTGCTCACCCCAAAGTTTTGGAGGGGATTGGCGTCCCACTGCGCTTCCCTTTGCAGCCGGCGCAGACATCAAGGAGATGCAGAATAAAAGCTTCCAGGAGTGCTACAGCGGCGGCTTCCTGGCCGGCTGGGACAAGGTCTCCGTTGTCCGCAAACCCATCATCGCCGCCGTCAATGGCTACGCCGTGAGTGTCCCCCACGTCTCCCTGCACCCCCTGCCCCCACCCCGGCTCCCCCTGACCCATCTGTGCCTCCCCTGTGCCAGCTGGGAGGCGGCTGCGAGCTGGCCATGATGTGCGACATCATCTACGCCGGGGAGAAGGCGCAGTTTGGGCAACCCGAAATCCTGCTGGGAACCATCCCAGGTGAGCAGCAGGCACCTGCCAGGGGCTGCCATCCCAGCTGGGGTGGGGACACCCAGGTAGCCCTCCTCTCTGGACCTCTCCCTTCCCTAAACGCCCCAGGCGCCGGCGGGACGCAGAGGCTGACCAGGGCAGTGGGGAAGTCGCTGGCAATGGAGATGGTGCTCACCGGGGAGCGGATCTCGGCAAAGGAGGCAAAGGAGGCAGGTAGGGGCGTGGGACAGCCCTGGCAGTGCAGGGGTCTGGCTGGGAGCCTCCCCCCACTTCCCACTGCGCATCCCAGGTCTGGTCAGCAAGGTGTACCCTGTGGAGAAGCTGCTGGATGCAGCCATTGCCTGCGCTGAGAAGATCGCCAGCAACTCCAAGCTGGTGGCTGCCATGGCAAAGGAGTCAGTCAATGCTGGTAGGGGCTGGGGGCCAACTGGGAGCTCCTGGGGGGGCTGCAAAGCCAGGCAGAGGGGCCTCCCCAACTTCTCCCTTGCTTTCAGCCTTCGAAACGACGCTGACAGAGGGGAACAGGACAGAGAAGCGCCTGTTTTACGCCACCTTTGCCACCGTGAGTAGGGGGATCAGCCCCGTGGCACGGGGATAACAGGGTCGCTGCAGCCCCCCCAAACCTCACTGTCACCTCACCTCTCTGCTTGTCCCAGAGTGACCGCAAGGAGGGGATGACGGCATTCGTGGAGAAGCGCAAGGCCAACTTCACCGACAGCTGAGCCCAGAGCTGCAGGTCCCTGGGGTGGTGCAGGTCCCCACGGCCTCCTGCAGCCCGTCCACCCCCGCCTTACCCCGCAGAGGGGACCGGGACCCGTCGGGGAGCCACACTTGGGGTGACAGCCAGCAGTGGGGACCACCTCTGCCTTCGCTATTAAAGGGTTTTCTAGGTGCTGCTGGGAGATGGGGCGTCCTTGCTGCGAGGTCCTGCCTTAGCTGGGAAATGTTGGGGTTCACTGAGCCCCCCCACGCTCCCTCACTGCTCTCTGATGCTCAGCTGGGCACGAGCAGCCTCGTGGAGCATAGGTCTGGGTGTTCCCCAGGAAGGGAACAGCCTGTGGCATCTTCTGGGGCACAGCCAATGTGCTGAGTTTGCCTCAGCCTCACCTGGGCTGAGTCTCCTGTCCTAGGGCATCATCCTCACCCTGCCTGGTGCCTTGGGGTAATCCTGAGGGAGTTCCTGCAGGTTTGGAGGCCCTGCAATTAGCAGCAGGTTTCTGGCAGTAATGAGGAGCCCACCAGGACATGGAGAGGAGATGGGTTTATTGGTGAGGCTTAAGGCTCGGTAGGAAGGGACAAATTTCCCCAGGAAACCCCAAGAGCAGCTCCCACCCTTCATTTCACAGCCCGGGCACATCTCCACTCAGCCGTGGTGGATGTAGTCAAGATCCTCCTCTGGGCCATTCTGCACCTTCGGGACCGGCATCCAGAGTGACACACGGGCATTGACCTCCCTGGCATTGTCCTGGGGGTGGTACAGGTGGTCACGGTCCTCCTCCGGGCCATTCTGCACCTTCGGTACTGGCATCCAGAATGGCACACGGGCACTGGCCTCCCTGCCATCATCTTGGGGGTGGTCGAGGTGGTCACCATCCTCTTCTGGTCTTGCTTGGACTTGGGGTGGGCCCCTCTGAGCCCAGGCACTGCTGGAGAAGACCTTTATACCTGGTTCACCCTCCTCACCTACGCCCAGGATGCTGCAAGAGGGGAACAAAATCCTAGAGGAGAGGTTGCCAAATACCCTCCCTGTCCCAGGAGAATCTCACCAAGTGGAGTGCAGGGACCATGGTGAGGTTGCCCACACCCCAGGAAGCAAGTTGGGATCTCAGGGTGCAAAGGGGCTAACTTAAATATTTGTTTCACAAAAGGAATAGAGAAACCAGCTGGATGCTCAGGGAGTTTACATAATTTGTGGAGAAAGGGAGATGGAGCTAGGAACCCCTTAATTTTGGGGGGCACAAAGCAACAAGGGGGGCACAAAGCAACAATTTATTCCCCCCCTGAAACACTTTTCATTTTGATTGGTTTTTGCAAGCCTGATGGGAGCACCTCTTACCTTTCCTCAGCCAAATCCTGCTCCGTGGCCAGGTCCTTCCACCGGGAGCTGCTCAGAGCCTGTGGGGAGATGAGGGGGTTCCGAGGGGGGGCACGGGTCACACGGGGGTCCCCTCATCAGAGGGGACAGCGGGAGGGCAGGTCGAGGCAGGGCTCACCTGGGTGCCGCCGGGTGCCAGCAGCAGGAGGGCCGTGCCCAGCAGGATGGTCACACTGCAGAGCCCCATGGTCCTGGAGTGGAGAAGAGATGGCAGAGAGAGGTGGCACAAGCCGTGCTGGCTGCACCCTGTTCCCGTGGCCACAGCTCCTCCCGTGCCCACCGGGGCTGGCAGAGACCTACCTGTCCGTGCTGCCTTTTGTCACACCTGCCTCGCACTTTGCCCGCCCCGTGGCAGCCTGGTGGCACTGGGTGGAGCCAGGTCCCGCTGCCGCCCATCCCACGTGTCCCTCCCTGCCCCGGGTGGATCCAGGTCCCTCTCCTCAGGGACATTGCACCCCTGGGCTCTCCAGGCAGCTCCCTGTCCTCCTGCCAGTGCACCATCTCTGGAGAGATGGGAAATTCAAGTTTGGGCTTGAAATAAGGATTTTTGTCAGGCACTGGCCAGCTGGGATGTACTTTGTTGCCCATGGGCTCTGGGAAAAGCTGGTGGCCCAGAAGAGAGACCATCAGTAACTTCAATTTGTTTCCCAACAGCAAGGGCAGGCACTCGGGGCCCCTGGGCTCTGGGAAAAAGGAATTCCCAGGTCAGAACTCCTGGACCTGACCACAGTAAGGAGGAGCAGGCTGGGCTGCTGCCTGACCTTTGTACCATCACATGCCAAGGCTGCAGGCATCTCCAGAATCGTGGGGCCTGCTTCCCATTCCCAGATATCCCAGTGTGGGGGAAGAGCCTCATGCAGGGCTTTAGTGTTGGGAAGTGATTTTTGGTCCCTGCTCAGAGGGCAGTTGTGTGGCTGCAGGGTTTGCCTGCTGGAGACAGCACTCCACAGAGCCCACGGAGCAGGGATTAGGGCTGGACAAGCTGGATGAGTTTTAAACAGAGCAAAGCTTTTTAAAACTCACTGGGAAATCTCCTGCATCTCCGTAAACATTGTTCCCTGCTCCCATTTGCAAGGATTTTTCAAAGCCCCTTTGATCTTCTATTCCTCACAGAGAGGGGGAAGGGAAAAAATTGCAATTATAGATCCTAAGCTTCTTGGATAAACATTGTTCCAGAAATCTATTTTTTTTCCCCTTATGCACAATTTTTGAGTGTCAGGATTCACCAGGAGCCCAAGACCAGTGGCTGTGTTTCCAGTTTTTTTCCAGGACGAGATTACAAAGGAAGGGAAAGGCAAGAGGGAAAACAACCTCCTCCATCCCAACCTGATTTTGGCAGCATTTGCAGCAAAGGGAGGGAGGTTCATTCCACAAGTCTGACTCTGCCTGGGCTTCCAAACAGCACTTACACTCACTATGAAGCAATTTTGTAAAAATTTAAAATTTTCTTTTATTTATTCACCTGGTTGGAAGTCACTTTATTTTAACTCCCTGTGAAAATGCTTCTCCTGGCCCAGACAGACCTTTCAGAGCAGGTGCTGGGGTGCAGAGGAGACTTCAGAGAGATGAAGTCAGAACTGAGGACCAATGGGGTTCTTCCCCCCATTTTCTTTTCTCAGTTATTCCAGCTTCCATACAGTCACACTGTCATCTTGTCACTTCTTGAATTCATTTTTTTACCTCCAAGAGGGAAAAAATAACCCAGTCCTGTGCAGCCTCAGCTGCAGGTTTCCTTAACAGCTCACCCCACACTCTGGGTTCCATTTCCTCAAATCTTGAGGATTCTCAACTCAGTCAGGTAGTGCCAGTTCTGTCTGACATCAGGAGCACGTGCCCAAGTGCTGGCAGAGCTTTAATTGGTTTGGGTGGTTTATTCCATGGAGTGGGAACTGGAAATATCCCTGGTGGCACTGCCTCCATGCCTGCTCATCTTGCACAAATCTGCTGCACTGACCTTCACACTTTTTTCCGTGGTCCTTTAAATCCTCGGGTGGCGCCTTGTCCAAAGCAAATTGTGGATGGGATCCTGGAAAGGCAGAGAGGCTTTAATCCATGTGAGGATGCAGCCCTCACAGGCTCACTGGGATGCTTAATGCTCTGTGGGGCATTTTAAACTCCCAGAGGGGGAAGAGCAAGGTATGGGAGGAGCAGGACATGTAAATAATTTAAAGAATGGGTGAAACACTGGTTGGAATTCCTGTGTACCCTGCACATTCCTGTCCTAGAGGCCTCTTTACAACCAAACCTAACACTCAGGCAGCTGCAGTGGTTGAGAGGGAGGAGCAGGAGAGCAGAAGCAGCATCCTGCAATACCCTGGGAAGAGATCAGGTGGGCAGACAAACAGAGCTCCCACAGCACACCCACGTCCTGCTCCTCCTCACAGCTCCTTCTTTCAGAAATGGCTTTGGAAGCACACATGGCATTCCTGCCTGGTTTATCCTCAGCACAGGAACACCCCAAGCCCTGCTGCAAAGGGCTGATAAGATGGAGTGGTCCCAGCCCCTTTTTCCCTGAGGCCAAAGTGCAGACCTGGATTTGTAGAGCCGTTTCTCTGGCAGTGAGGGGCCAGGGCTGGCTGCAGGCTGAGAGATCTCCATGTTCTCCTCAGGCCCTGTTTCCATGGGATTCACCTGGAATTGCTCTGCCATCTCCACGCTCACATCCATGGGGACACTGGTGCCCTGCTCCATGGGAGAGCTCGTGTGCTTGGAGCCACTGCAGGGACAAAATTTTACATCCTGGCTCAGGAGCTGCCACGTGAGCCCAGAGCCAAGGAAATCAAAGGTACTTCATGAGGAAATGAGTCCATCTGGGACCCAATATCCCAGCCCTGTAGGAATGGGAAGCCATTCCCTGTTTTCCTGGCGCCCCACTCTTTGTAAAGAATCTCTCTCCATGTTTTCTGTAGCTCCCTCAGGCACTGGAAGGCCACAACGAGGTCAGCTCAGAGCTGAACAATCCCAGTTCCCCCACACTCTCCTTGCAGGACAGGAGGGAAGTTCTGCAGTTACCTTTTCACCTTCTTGGGCCTGTCAAAGCGAAAGTCAGCAGGGTACAGGTGCACGGTCACCAAGTGATCCTTCCTGTCCTTGCTGCTCTTGAACTTCTCTGTGCAGCCCTCCACCAGACACTGGTACTGAAAGGCAGGGCGGAGAAAGGAAAAAAAACCACATAACTGGGAAAAAAAACCAAGCACCCACCAGCCACGAGGCGAGGGCTGGGCAGGGCAGCTCACCATGTTTTGCTTCTCAGCCATTATCTGGAAGAGGGAGTCGTGCCACTCCAAGATGTGGATATCCAGGAGATTCCCAGAGGGGAAGGAGCGCTTGCAGAAGGAGCAGACGTTCCTGTGCAGGGTGTTGTAGTGGTGCTCGTAGCTCTCCAGCGTGTCAAACACCTGGCTGCACCCAGAGATGTGGCAGCTGAACTCGGACACCCTGAGGGAAATCAGCACTTCAAGCTGAATTAGAGCCTTATTTCCAGCTGCAAACATCCACCCTAGATGAGTTTATCAGAGAATCCCAGGATTGGATACAAAGCTCATCTGATTCCAGCCCCTTGCCACGGGCAGGGACACCTTCCACTAGGCAACACCTGCAGCAACAACATTTGTGGCATTTTTTGTGACTAAAAATTAAATGTCAGGTGCAATGAACAAAGATCATGGTGGTGCTGGCAGATGGAAACTCATTTGCCATTGGAAACTTATTAACCATTATGGCTTCAGGATCATCTAGATCCTGTTAAACAGTGCTTCAGTGAACAACAAACAGGCCATTAATTAATAAATGAGCTGTCTGAGCTAAGAGTTGCAGTTGTGGAAGACAGCTCAGCGCCAGTGATTTTTTAAGAGGTATCCAAAGGTGAACCTCACACAACACTCCAAAGTACTTCCAGGCTTTTAAACACAGGAGCAAGACCGAGATTCTCCCCCAGGCTTGGCCTTCCCGCTGGAGCCCAGGGAAGCTGTGGCTGCCTCTGCATCCCTGAAGTGCCCAAGGCCAGGCTGGGCAGGGCTTGGGGCAGCCTGGCCTAGCAGAAGTGGGGAGGAACGGGATGATCCTTAAGGATCCAAACCATTCCAACCCAACCCACTCCTCGGTTCCACGCGGGGCGGACTCCGAGGCTCACTTACTTGGGTCTCTCGGGCACCTCCTCGAGGCTGGTGAGGACGCCCTGCAGGTAGAGGTGCCTGTGCACGTCGCCATCCTGCGGAGGAGCAGAGAGGGCGGTGCTGCAGGGCCCAGCGCTGCCCGGGCCGCCCCGCGGCACAGCGCGCTGCCCGCGGGCCCCTCACCGCCTCACCTCGAACAGCGGGTGCTGCGGGCCGAGGCGCAGGCGGCGGGGGGCGAAGGCGAAGGGCGGGGCGGGCCGAGAGGGAGGCGGGGGGTCCGGCGGGAGCCCCTCACGGGGCGGGGGCCCCTCACGGGGCGGGGGCCCCTCACGGAGCAGCAGCCGGAGGCGCGGCGGCAGCGGCAGCATCGCGCCGGAGAGAGGCACAGTGCGCATGCGCGGGGAGCGCTGCCGAGGTTACCGCGCTGCCCGCCGCGCATGCGTGGGGCGCGCTTCCCGGCGCCAGCGGCGGCATTTCCGGGCGGGCAGGTAGGGATGGGATGAAATTAAATTAAATTTTAAATTAATTAATACATGGAGTAGGACGGGGTAGGGAGGGTGGGGCGGGGCGCGGCTGAGGTGCTGCCCAGGCCCCTCGGGCTATCCCAGCGATGGCGGTGCCGCCTCAGGCCAGGCCGGCTCCCGCAGCCTCCCCTCACTGCAGCATCCCAGGGAAATCCCTGCGGGATCTGCCCGGTGCTGGGACGCTGGGCCTCTCAAGGGGTTTGGGCTTGGGCTGCACCGGCGTGATCCAAAGTGAGCCAGTTCTAAGTGGAGAGCTGGGCCAAGGCTTGCAGGGATCCCGTCCAGCCCGATTCCATGATCCTGGGAAAACAAAAGTGCGTTCCTGTGCTCGATGCGTGGGTCTGGGTTCGTGGGTCTGGGTTGTGTCTGAGCAGGGTGTCACACTGTGAGAAACGCCAGTCAGTTGGTTTTGAAATTTTAAAAGTTTAATGGTTATAAAAATAGTAATATAATTAGAATAATAAAATTTGACACATAACTTTCTAGCATAATACAAGATTCATTTTAATACTTGGGAAAAGCCAATCATAAAATATGCATTTTTCACAACATGAAGCTCCTCATTTATGTCCATCATTCCTGACTCGGGGTCTTCTGATTTCCAGAATCACAGGATGTTCTGAGCTGGAAGGGACCCACAAGGATCACCAAATCCAGCTCCTCAGTGAATGGCCCTTTCCAGGACTGACCCCACAGCCTTGGTGCTTTGAGCAGCAGGCTCTCAGACCTGCTGAGCTCCCCTCAGGGTTCTGTGTCAGTATTAAAGTTATTCTTTAAGAACTCTGCAGGGTTTGAGTGAAGGTAGTAAAGTGGGCAGTGGAATAGGAAGACCCCTAAACTTGGGGAAAACTGCTTTGTGGTGATTTCAGAAACAGCCTGTCAGGACACCAAGCAGTGCTTCCGGCATTTCTTCTGAGATTAAAAAATCCTCTGCTGGCCAACCCTGACTTAGATTCTTCCCCAGGCTTAGTTTTCCTGGCTGGAGCTGTGTCAGCTGCAGCAGCCCAGAGCAGCTGTGGCTGCCCCTGGATCCCTGGAAGTGCCCAAGGCTGGGTTGGATGGGGCTTGGAGCAGCCTGGGATAGTGAAGGTGATCAGTTCTGCTCCATTTGCATATTGGAGTTAATTGTCCAATTACAGCTTTAGCCCATGCAGTCCCATCCTGCTTGTTTTTCTTCTTCAATTCACTGTTGTTTATCATCTTGGGCCTGAAATTTGAGTGGTTGTCATTGGTCCCCAGCTAGAGCACGAATTGTTTTGTCTCCCTGCTCTGTGCAGAGAGCTCACCATCCCTTCATGTGAAGCTCAGACCCACACACCAAATCAGCACAGAACCTGAAAAACACAAAAGCTAAACCCTGAGACACCAGGGTGAGACAGGCTTTGAGTCCCTTCCAACCCAAACCCTACAAGGAATATCCCTGCTTGCTTTGCTTCCTCCCCCTTTGTCCCACCCAAACACCTCCACACCCCAGAAGCCCCTCCGTGCCGGGGCTGCTTTCCCTGGCGGGGCTGTTTCCCCTGGCGGGGCTGTTTTCCCTGGCAGGGCTGTTTTCCCTGGCAGGGCTGTTTTCCCTGGGATAACCCCGGGTTCCCGTGTCCCAGGGTGGTGGCAGGAGCAGGGAGCATGAGCGAGTTCCGCATCCACCACGACGTGAACGAGCTGCTGAGCCTGCTGCGCGTGCACGGCGGCGAG